AAAGGGCAATGCGCATGCTCCCGTCTCTATGGCTTCCGAAGGCGCACCAAGCCCAAAGGCCGTCGCCTCCGCTTTGCGGGCTGGTGCGTGCCAAGCAGCAAAACTTTACAGCGGCGCGGCCATCTTGAAATAGGTGCACTTGTCCGTACAGGAAAGGGGAGTGTCCTTTAAGGAGTGGAAACCATTGGAGCAACCTTAGGAGATGCTTATAGAGAACGGTATAGGGTTTCGAGAAGCCAGAGTAGTACGACAAAGGCAGTAGGCCTCATTGTGGGCACAGAGTAAACTAATTCAGTTTAAGGAAAAGATCTCTTCTTGCCAGGACTGGTGGTGGTGGTTAGGGGACATCTCCAGGGTGAAAGGTGAGAGGGCTCGTGGGTAAGTAGAGCTAGTAGTGAGGGAGGGGCTGTGCTCATCACCAAGGTAGAGGGTGGAGAAATGTGGAGGATAGAAGAGTGGAGAAATGTGGAGGATAGAAGACTAGAAATTGTTGGTAGAAATTTCTTTTTTTTTTTTTAAAGATTTTTTTATTTATTTGACAGAGAGAGACACAGCGAGAGAGGGCACACAAGCAGGGGGAGTAGGAGAGGGAGAAGCAGGCCCCCTCGCCGAGCAGGGAGCCCGATGCGGGGCTCGATCCCAGGACCCCGGGACCACGATCTGAGCCGAAGGCAGACGCCCAACGACTGAGCCACCCAGGCGCCCCTGTTGGTAGAAATTTCTTAAAAGGTTTTTATCTCAACTCAAATGTTTTCACATATAATTTCTAGTGAAGTAATTATTAAAATTGGAATTGAGTCAAAGAGAATGAACAATATTTGTTGGGTAGATAATAATAGATTGTTGTCCCAAACCGGTTCTATTGATGAATACATTTCACTGGCTGCTATCCTTCTTCAAAAACTGGATCCCGGGAAGAGGGTAGCTGGGTGGCGCAGTCGGTTAATCATCTCCTTTTCAGCTCAGGTCACTGAGCCCCCCAAGGGCGAAGGCTCCCAGCTCTGCGGGAAACCTGCTTTCCCTCTCCCTCTGCCCACCCAACCCCCGCTTGTACTCCCGTGCTTGCTCTCTCTCTCGAATAAATAAATAAAATCTTTTTTAAAAAAGAACTTGATACTAAAACAAATAGTTAATTTATATTAAGTGTATACACATTTTTTGAACAGGGAACTAGTTCAGGTGTAGTAATTACATTATCTTACTTAGCACTCTTAAAGCTGATGTGGAAATGTCATTTGGAGCAAACAGCCAATTCTTGAAACATCTTCAGTGTAAATAAGTGGTTTTATTAAAGCATGGGGACAGGACCTGTGGGCAGAAAGAGCTGCACCGGGATTGTGAGGAGCAATTGATTATATACACTCAATTTGGAAGACGGTTAGGGATAGCATAAGTCTTTAAGGAATTTTGGAAGCAAGGTTTCCAGGACTTTGAGGGGGCTAGCTATTGTTAGGAAAAGGTCATTTATTACTGTCTAATAAAA